AGTTGCTGCTTTGCCTCCTCACTACCAATCGGTGGTGGGAAGGCAAGGCAGCAACAATGGAGGGCCGTGGGGCAGGTGAGGCATGGAACATCAGCAAGGGTGGTCAACCAGGAGTGGCGGCGGTAGGTAGGTGACCGGTTTGGAGAGTCATACTTACCGATCTGCATCTTCGGAAGCCGGCAGCGGGGTAGACAATCCGGCCGGGCGAGGTCGACTAGCGGTGGTGGTGGGAGGGAGGCAGGGCAAGGCAGGCTGGCCGGGTGAAGACAGTTAGCAGCGGTGGTGACTGGGGCTTGCGGCTTGCCCTCACTCAGCAGGGCAGCAGAAGGCAGGCAGGGAAGGACAGCTGGCTAGCTGGCTGACTTGGCTGCTGCTGCTGCTGCTGGTGTGAGCAATGGCGTCATGTGGGTAAATTTTTGTAATTAGCGCACATGTGCTATAAGTCAGGGTGGGGCGGGGAGGGCGGGGGAGAATGAGAAAGGGATTTTTATGCATGCGCAGTAAAAAAAACTCTTTTTTAAAAAAAACAGGTTTTTTTACTTTGGAGCGGCGGATAGGGGTGGGGGCTGGGGCAGCGAAGGGAGGGGTTGGGCAGGGGAGAATGAGGAAGGGATTTTCATGCATGCGCAGTAATAAAAACTTGTTTTTGGCCCGTAGGAGCGGCGGAGAGAGACGGGGCCAAGCAGGGGCCGGTTTTACCGGTTCTTAGAACTACCGGTGACGTTAACAAGTTCTATAGAACCGTTGCAAACTGGTAGAAACCCACCCCTGGGTGGGCCGCAAGAAAATTTTAGTGGGCTGCAGAGAAATCTCATCCCCAGAGCACCCCCCCAAACCAATTAATCCAGGCTGCGCAGAAACACAAGGTTGCGCCACCCACATGGCCTGCAGGAACCCTCCCTGCCCACTCACTCCTTACGCAGCAAACTTGTCTGCTAAATTGCTATTTTTCTGACCATCAGCTGTTCTGCTGTGCCAGGAGATTTAGATTAGCTAGGAAGCAGGAAATGGTTGGATTTCTTGCTTTCTAGCTAGTCTTTAGATCTTCGGCTCTGCTTTTAAGCACAACTGAACCTCCCTTAGGACTGAAGTTTCTATTATTCAGTGCAGACTCACGGCAAGCAAATTTCATGTGACAGACTGAGCTAGCCGATGGCAGATAGATAGATAACTGAATGATCCTGTGAACAACTCAATCTGCCTGCCTGCTTTGCCTGATTTTGGGTAAAAGTTACTCTTTTTTTTTATAAAACATTCAATATTTATATAAATATTTATAATATTTACATACAAGCCATACCCAGCCAGTCACATGACCACCAAGCCACACCCACAAATTAGGCCATGCCCATAAAACCGGTTAGTGGTCCCTGGCATTTAAAATTATGAGTTTGGTGGTCCCTGAAGTCCAAAAGGTTGGCGACCCCTGAT